CTCTCTCTCTCTCTCTCTCTCTCTCTCTCTCTCTCTCTCTCTCTCTCTCTCTCTCTCTCCTCTCTCTCTCTCTCTCTCTCCTCCTCTCCTCTCCCTTTCCCCAAGCCCCCTTTCCCTCTGCCTCCCCCCTCCTCCCTCCCTCCCTTCCCTCCCTCCCTCCCTCTCTCTCTCTCTCTCTCTCTCTCTCTCCTCCCTCCTCCTTCTCCTCTCTCTCCTCCCTCCCTCTCTCTCTCTCCTCCCTCCTCTCTCTCTCCCCTCCCTCCCTCCCTCTCTCTCTCCCCTCCCTCCCTCCCCTCTCTCTCCCCTCCCTCCCTCCCTCTCTCTCTCCCCTCCCTCCCTCCCTCTCTCTCTCCCCTCCCTCCCTCCTCTCTCCTTCCCCTCTCTCCTCCCTCCTCTCTCTCCCTCCCTCTCTCTCTCTCCCCTCCCTCCCTCCCTCTCTCTCCCCTCCCTCCCTCCCTCTCTCTCCCTCTCTCCTCCCCCTCCCGCCCCCCCTCTCCTCTCTACCCTCTCTCTTCTCTCTCTCCCCCTCCCTCTCTCTCTCCTCCTCCCTCCCTCTCTCTCTCTCCCTCCCTCTCTCTCTCCCCCTCCCTCTCTCTCTCTCCCTTCCCCCCTCCCCTCTCCCCCCCCCTCCCTCTCCACAGTTCGAAAAGCAGCTTCCCAAATGAATTCCCTGACAGCTAAATGGATTTCGCGAGTTCATGTCCAATCGGGATTAACAAAAGTAGCCTTTAATCTTTAATCACTCGCCACGCACTTTCACGGATGAGTGTTCATTACAGGGTCAATTTTTATCCGGCAATATCTATCGCTCGCCGACGCACGAACGTACTTTCCTTTCGTGTCGGTCTGTCTACCTACCCTCACCCCTCTCTTCTCTCTCTTTCTCTCTCTCTCTCTCTCTCTCTCTCTCTCTCTCTCTCTCTCTCTCTCTCTCTCTCTCTCTCTCTCTCTCTCTTTCCTCCTTCTTTCCATCTCTCTTTCTATTTCTATCTGTCTCCATCTTTCTCTCTCTCTCTCTCTCGCATTTTTCCCTTTCTTTCTCCTTTTTTTCATTCTCTTCAGTCTCCCCACGCACCTCCATCTCACACATAAACACAAAGTGGAAGCGCGTACACCTTTCTGCTCGCACAAAATAACAAAACAAACCACACTCCATTCCAACCCCTCCCCAAGAAAAAAAATACTCCCCTCCACAACACACATACACCTTAACACACAGACACACACACACAGACACACACACACACACACACAGACACACACACACACACACACACACACACACACACACACACACACACACACACACACACACACACACACACACACACACACACACACACACACACATTAAAAAAAACACACACACACACAACCGAACATCCACAAGCACACATTCCCACTCCAAGGACAAGCGGAGCCATCCCCGCCCCCAGCAGGCACATGCCGCACGCCCGCGCCCCTCGTCGCCGCCGCCGTCCATCCTGCGAGCGCCGTCCTCTGCGACACCTGATGTCTAATGCATGGCTCCTGCGCGCAAGAGGGGCGTCGAGAGCATCCGGACATCTGTCTCTGGCTCACTTGCCTCCGGGTGGAAATTGCCCCCTTCTTCTTGTTTTCCTTCGTGCCTCCTTCGCTCGCCTCTCCTTGTTTATTCATTTATTTCTAAACGCTCTCTTTCTCTTTTCTTTGGATGCCACAGACCGGTATCTCTCTCTTGTTTCTTTCTTGTTTTCCTTTGCTGTTTCTGTTTATTATCTATATTTTGGTTTATCTATCCACCTAATCATTGATCAATATTGTACCGTTTTCTTTCTTTATCTTTTCTGGATGCTCATCGTTTCATTCCTTCCTAAAACTCTTTACATTTATTTCTTCACTTACCCTATTTCACCATTTCTTTCCTTATTAGCCTTTTCTTTATCTATTTATCTATTATTCTTTATCTTCTTTTCTAATTGTCTCGAGAAGCGGTAGCGTCTTGGGAAATTTTCTTGGGTTTACTTTTTCTCTGCCGCCGTTTACTCTCTTTTTCTCTCTTAGTTTTGTCCACTTATCTTTCTTTCTTTTCTTTTTCTGGATGCTAATCGTCTCGAGGAAACTGTGCATCTTCATCTAGTTCATTTTCTTCTCACTTTCACTTTTCTAATTTATTTATTTCTTTCTTCTTCTCTTTATAAATTCCCAAGCTATTACTTTCTTTACTTCTATTTTTCTTTCTCATATTTCTTCCCTTATCACTTCCTTCTTGCTTTACAATTCTCTTTCTTACTTTATTACTCTCCTTCATTCCATCTTTATTCCACATTTTTTTCTCACTTTTTCAAGGCCGAGAAACAACATCGTCTCACAAGGCAAAACTTTGAAGAAAAAAAGGAAAAAAAAATCACACACGAAACTTTCACCTTCGTAAAGTTTAGTTCGAAAACTAATTGCATACCAGGGAAATCCCCCCCCCCACGCAAAAAAGTCCACAACTGTACATAAAACCAAACCATACAACCTTGAATTACTTTTTAGAAATACACGAACACTTAAATAGATTATCGTTCCTATAAACCTTTTTAAACATAAACTTACAAGAAATTTCCGCTCATCATACAATCAGTACCCAAGTCCACGATCCGTTCTGAACTTTCCTTAAAAAAAAATTACGAAAATAGTTACTTACTGCACGGCGAGAACCCGGCATTCGGCAGACTGCAACCGGGCCTTACCCTGCCAATGAAAGAGTAGAGTTGTATTGCCAATAGTACAGCGAGCCCACCAGAAACGGTCAAAACGAGACAGTGCATTTCTGGGCGGCTTTAAAAAAGAATAAGAAAACAGAAAATATAAAGGATTCGTAACCCCTTAAAATAAAAAAAGGCCCTAAAAGTCATCATCACAAGGGTGATAAGACGAAGAAGCGCAGGAGCGAAGGTAGATGTAACAAAATTTGTGTGGACCCTCTAGTATGTACAAAGTAATCATTCTACCAATTTGGGCTGTTGAAGCAGAGATGGCACAAATGCCCATACCAGGATCATCTCTGGTATTTTGCATCCTCAGCTCTGACCAAGAGCACATATATGTATTAACTAGATCATTAAAATGAATTCTACATATTACTGTGTGTGAGTATAGAAACAATTAAATTTCGCAGGCGACTTAGCTTCATTTGGGAGAAGCTCATGAGCCCAGCGCTAAGAGCGAATTCTTCGCGCTTCCCGCCTTGCCCAGCGATTAATCAAATACTACGTAATCTTTAAATGTAAGGATACAAAATATTGTATTCTTTCTGAAGCCGTCTATCAAAATATCAAATCACCTCACAAGAATCACCACTGCGAAGTAATAATGTAACCCTTCCAGACCGCTCTTACGACAACAGGGCTCTGACCTAAACCAGATCCCTCAAAGAGTCTCTACATCTACACAAGAGAGTTGAACTAATGAAGAAACTCAGATATGCATCCCGCTGTCCATCTGAGAAGCCTTCCCAATTCTTGGAACTAACGTAAATTGGCCGTATCCCAAGTATATCATATATATCTTATCATCTAATAGTGTAAATTGCCTATTAGGATTGCTCTAGGTATTTCTCCGGTATCATTAACACATATTATACATAATACTATAACATCAGTATATCGATCATCATCTTATAAGGAGATACCACAGAACATGTCAAATTATAAATAAGATAAAACCAGCAATTTAATACAAATTCTTAAACAAAATAAATGCAAGAATAATCTAGAATACAAATAAATAGACTACACAAAAATAAATTTAAGACAACAATATTGCCTTCCCAACGAGTGATTGGTATCAGCGCAAACTAAAAAATAATTCATAAATTCAAAGTAACCAGGTCTAAGATCAATAAATACAAACATAAATATAATCAAAATATCAAACCACTGAACTTGTGTACTTCTATGTCGTTCCACCCATAAACCAAGGTCAATTATAAAACTTGAATCTGTATAACAATTGCAATCAGTACCACTCTATCTAAATATATATACCATATCAAGTAAGTGCACAAAAACCATAACAGAAAATGACATAAGGGATACTACCATTTTTAATCGTTCTTTCCTTCTTAATTTAGCGTGCTTTGTGTGTCGTCGAGAGATCGTATAGTATTAATTGATACATTCGAAATGTACAAAGACGATCTAACCATGCCAAAAAATCACATAAAATCATGATCAAGAATTTGTCGGATTTATAAAAAATGAATTACCAATTAGCCAAAGGAACACTCCCCCTTATGATAGAGAGGAATACCAATAACACTACCCCCCCCCCCCCTCTCACTCTTTCCTCCCTTAACCTTATGAGAAAATGCCGATGAAATTGCTTATCGAGTAGATAGCCAATCCCCCTTCCTTTCCCCTTCCCTCCCTTCCTTTCCTTTCATTTCCTTCCGCTTCCCTTCCTTTCTTTTCCTTTCCTTCATTTCCTCTTCTCTGTCTTTCCCTTCCTTTCATTTCCTTCCATTTCCCTTTCTTTCTTTTCCTATCCTTCATTTCCTCTTCCCTCTTCTTTCCCTTTCCTTCCCTTCTTTTCCTTCCCTTTCATTCTTTTCTTTTTTTAATCTTTTCCTTCCCTTTACCTCGCACCCTTCCCTTTCCTTTAATTTCTCTTCCCTCCCCTTCCCTTTCCTTCCTTTCCTTTCCCTTCTTCTTCTCTTCCTCTTCCCTTCCTTACCCATACTTTCCCACACACCATACCTGCTACTCTATATGGAAGAAAAGGAAGGAAAATATCTTTAATTACCCATCCCACACCCCTTCTCCATCTTCCCCCCTACCCATCCTTTCTCTTACACACCCTACCCCTTCTTCACCCCCCCCCCCCCCAGCGATAAGGAACTGGCGGAGAAGTTAGCCAATATATCTACTCACGCCGCTCGGTCTGCCTGTCAGTTTTATTCGGACTGTCAGTCACTTAGTCGGTCAGTTACACGTTCACTCTCTCACTCCCGCTGTCTCTGTCCGTCGTCTTCT